TTTTGGCATTTTTAAGGTTTTTAAAGTATAAGATATTTTTAATATTAGTCGTTATATTATGTGTTCAGTATTGGTATAGAACATCATAAATACGTGTCATATTCTGGTATTCACAAGGTCTACATAGTTTTTGGTTCGTTTATTTTTTATTTTTATCAAATAAATCGACAATTAATTTTATTACTTTTTCAATATCAATGAGCTTGAGTAGATAATTGGGAATGCCTTATAGGTAAAACACATATTAAAAATAAGCTAAAAATAAATAAAAATGAGTTAAAATAAACAAAGAAATAGTATTAGTATGTATTATTATAATACATTTATTTTTAATTGGAATAAATGTTTAAAATTATCTATTAATGTTAAGAAGTTATTTATTATTATAAATTGTATTTACTGACTATTAATATTAAGTTTTATGAAACATTGAATAAATAAAAAGCGGGCAAGTTGGTACCGCTCTGCTGTACATTAAGGGGTGGGGTGAACCTTGGACTAGGGTAGGTTAAATTTGAATGCAATTATAGGTACCATTGTATACGAAAAACGATTCTGAACGGAGATGATTTGTTAGTCTAGGATATATTATATTTAAATATTGTCATACATTATATTTTGAAACAAATATTTTATTTTTCAATTAGGACGCATTTGCAAAAGTTATGGTTAATCAATTAATTATTAATTTTTATGAATTATACCTACAAAATAGTTTATAAATATTCATGGTTTTGAAAAATATTTGTCAATATTGAACTTCAAATGCAAATAAAAAAAATTGTTCCTATGTATTCTTAAATTTTTTTGATCACTATCTCATAATAACTTATGAGAAACTTTGTATTCAATTTTCAAGTATTTTTATTGGGCCAAAAAAATGTTATCAACACTTCAAAAAAAAATTTTCAGAAAAATTGAAAATTCCAGGTGTCTATAAATAGCTTAAAAAAAAAGTCAAAATATTTTGAAAATTAAATCATATAAAGAAATCACCAATCTAAATAACTGGTAAAATTTTCAAGTATCTACAACTTATACTTTTTGAATATTAAAAAATATTTAAAATCGTTTGAGGATAAATCGTTATCGTTACGCTATTTCGTAAAAGTTAAAAATTCAAACGCACTTAAAATTTTTCCTATAATGATGCTTTGAGTTTTTACTATAGCTACTTGAAGGAACACTTAGGGAAAACATAGTGTAGTATTTTTAATCCTTAGTTATAAACACAAACAATTTTATGATTTTTCAACTTCAAAATTACTTACAAATTTTTGCGTTTTCGATAGATTTCGTAAATATTTGAACTATAAACGTTTATAAAAAAAAAATTGTGACAAACGATTTTTTATTTTTTTAGCTACAATAAGAAAAATTCATAAGGATTCTTGTATTAAATTTTCAAAATTTTTTGGTCATCCAACATTTTGTTATCGATAATTTCAGTGGTTTATAAATAACTCAAAAAAAGTCAAAAGTTTTTGAAAATTAAACTGTATATATATAACACTAACATAAACATTTGGTAAAAATTTCAAGTATTTACAGTGATAAGTTTTTGAATTACAACCATATTAAAAAATCGATTTGTTCGAAAACTGGTTTTGCATAAATATTCCCGTTTTTCCGTCACTTTTTTTTTGTTTTTCTCGATATTTTTGAAAACTGTTGGAAAATGTTTACTTTTTACCTGTATAATGCATCAAGGATATTCACTTTGCCTTCGGAAACCACCCCCAAAGTTTAAAATTGAAGCATTATTTCGACTACTTATGCTGTACACAGACACAAAAAAAAAAACACACATCATTGTAAAATCAATACATTCATCACTCCGTTCAGAATCTAAAATACATTACAATTTTATCATTAAACATAATTTTTAACATACAACAATTGAAATTACTCTATTGTGATTATATTTTATAGATACAATATCAAAGTATTTAAGTAAGGCTATACATTTGTTTATCATTATAGTAATATTTGTATTCACATAAAATCATACTTACTATCTAATTCTTCTATCACAATTTTAAATCCATTAAAACCCCTAATATTATACAAAACTTTTATAATTGTATTTGTGTATTAATTTTAAAATAAAGCTTTATTATAAGATATTCAACATTTATAAATAAAGAATTATTTAAATAATATTATATTCTTGTTATGTTCCATTCGGTCTTTTTATTGTCAACTCTATCATTGGACAAAGATGTATTTCTTGTACTTAAGTAGATTCATAATTAAATAAAAAAGTGATAAATGTTTTTGTTTTCGATGATAAGTGTTTTTATATTTGAAGCAATTGATTAATATTTCATAAATGTTGAATTTCAACAATTTTTCTATTTTTAATATAACTAGCTGGTATGTAACCAATAAACAGTGGTTACAAACATGTCTTTTTTTAATCTTTTAACATATAATCGTAAAAAATGTTCAGGACTCTAAGAAAAATTTCAATCACAAACTATTTATCATTATTTAAAATAATAACTTTGTTTATATATTTATATATAAATTATATATATATATATATATGTAATTATGATTTACTTTTAAATTTTCACAGTGAATAAAGGTAAGTTCATAATAGTATTGAATATTTTATTTTGACACGGCCACGCGTTGCTATGGCTAAAGTTTTTGTTATATTACATTAAGAGGAACAATAAGAGAACATCAGTCACGGAGTCCACTATGCTTTTTCACACAGATGGTATTTGTAAAAAGATATGGTGATCTCCTTATTTGACTTTCTACTACTATAACCCTTTAGTACAATGAAATTATTTACTAACAAAGACGAAAATGTTGATGTTGGTATACAAGTTCACTGGATTGAGATTTGAAGGGGAAGTACGTTGAACACAATTAATTAAAATGTTCTTATACTTGATATTAAGTAGAAATCAATAGGTAAAAAATAAAAATTTATCAGATAAAGTTTGTATCTTTTCCCAATTCGGATTACATGTGAATGTAATAAATAAATCCAGTCGGCCGTAATGACGTACGTAAGTCATCGCATCTTGTATGTATTCCTGCATGTTCCGTGGACTGTCGATGTAGCTTGAAGGTAATATGAAAACATTACCGATGTCATTGGGATTTAAAGTTCCATCGATGTTTCCAGCAACAGCATCTCGTAAGTGAATATATTCTTCCGATCGTAGTTTTGCCTGGTTAAATCGAAGGAATTGCAAGCGTTCGCTTTCAACCTTAGCATACATATCAACAATGTATTGATGGAACAGCTGACGATAACGAAGGATATATGTAATTGTTTTGATGTTGTCTAACCATTATTCGGTGTGCATAGTAGTTCATTGAGCTAACTTTTTTATTTCTGTAATCACCTAAAAAAATAAAAAATAAAATGCAATACGAAATTAAAATCTATACATACAGTGAGAAAGTAAATAGATAATTGTCAAATATACCGGTATTTGGATCATACTGTTTGATATTAAGTTGATATTCATCTTGTCCTTGCCAAAATATCAATGGATATTGTAGTGCGTCATATGAACGGTGTAGATCCGAAATCGTACTGACAGTGTTGTCTCGCCGTGTAATTTTTATAGATATTTTGTCAACTGGATCACCAACCATGATAACAGCAACCTCATCTACAGTTGGAGCGTTGAATCTACCTGCATGTTCACCTAATGGTACTTTGTCGGCTTTTATGACGATTTGATAATTGTCATTTTGCAGTCGTGGCGAAACTCTTTTGATCAATTGAATTAGTTGATTGTGATCTTCTAAAAAATTTTCCAATAATATCACAATTGCTCTTTCCTCTGCTTGTTCAAAAAAATTATACAGGCACCGAGTCGTCACACGCTCTTCACAATCGCCCATAAAATAAATTTGAAGAAATTTCGGATTGTTATCGGGCATTGGCATCAGTGATCCGATTTAATGGTACACCTGGCCTTGAATTTTGAATGTAGTTTCAAAATTACGTCCATCGGATGCACGATCGCAAATTTTAGTTGCCCCAAATGACGTCATTTGGAAGCAAGAATTAAATTTGCGTATCTTACGCAAAATTAATTTGGAATCATCAAAATTGCCAGTAAGAAGGGATAATAAAGGCTCCGGCGGAGCAGGTAGAGGTGACAGCACTTTTCCTGATGCGCAGCACATGCCGGCAGCTTCATTCCGAAATTTCAATGCCTGACAATATTGACATACTTTATCCATTCCACCGATAGCAATCTTTGAATGCGCTGAGTAGTTAATATCAGGTGCATAATCAAAGGCAAGCCGAACGAATGATGCACGTGTTAATGAGCGGCTGATCCGTTGCCTTTGTCGATCTCTTTCTCGTACTGTATCTATGTTTCGTTCTCGTGCCGCTCTTGTTCTCGTAATATTCTGTTGCAGACGTTCGTCACGCTGTTCTTGAGATTCTCGTGCACGACTTTCTGCAGTCCTAATTCTTTGAGCTGCATTTCTTGTTTCCATTTGTTCTGGTAATTGCTGAGCTCTTTCAACACGTTTGCGTCGTGACCCTTTGCTGCTCGCGTTGTTGAAGTTAGATTTTTTCGGTGGCATGTTATAACACATAAATAAATAAATAAATAAAATAAAATAAAATAAATTGAAATTATTGTGGCCATGGTAACGTAACTTTTGTATGCAATAAATAATATTTTTTTTTTCGATTTTTATCGATATTAATCGATTTCAAGCCCTGCTATTATCGATTTTTGTATTATTATTTATATTTTATTTTTATCTGCTAGAGGATGCCACCGGTGTAACTCGGTTTTTGTCTCTAAATATCTAACTCACAGGAGTTAGGTCCATACCCTATATCCTGTCTTTTAAGTTGGACTAAACGCGGTGTAAAAATTTCATCAGAATCGGTTAAGTGGTTTAGGAGTCCATTGAGGACAAACACTGTGACATGAGATTTATATATATTAAGATATATAACATTCAAGTTGCCATTGGACGTTCATAATAAACCAGATGCAATGTGTAACATCAAAAAGAATAGTGGAATAGCTGCAGTGTTGCGGAAGAGTTCTATAATAATTTGGGATGAGTGCACAAAGGCACACAAATATTCACTTGAAGCACTAAACAGAACTATGCAAGATTTAAACAGCAATAATAAACTTTACGGTGGTGCTATCTTACTTTTGTCTGGTGACTTCCGGCAGACCTTACCGGTTATACCTCGCTCTACTTTCGCGGACAATTTTTGAACTGTTGTTCAGGATAAAAATGATTTGATTCAGAGTATTTTCCCGGATATACAGAATAATTATTTGAATCATGAATGGCTTAGTCAACGGGCGATTTTGGCAGCCAAAAACGTTGACGTTGACGAAATTAACTTCCAGATACAACAGTTGTTACCAGGCGATCTGATGTCATTTAAATCAATCGATACTGTTGTTGACGAAAATGAAAGTGTACATTTTTCGATTGAATTTTTAAATTCATTAGATATCCCTGGAATGCCACCACATAATCTTCGATTAAAGATTGGTTCCCCTATTATTCTCCTCCGTAATTTGAAGCTAACTCAATTATGTAACGGTACGCGTTTGGTCATCAAAAAGATTACCGGAAACATTCTTGAAACAACCATTTTGTCTGGGAAGTTTAAAGGAAAAGTGGTCCTGCTGCCACGTATTCCGATGATACCATCAGATTCTACCATACCCTTCAAAAGGCTACAGTTTCCAATTCGTTTAGCTTTCGCCATGTCTATAAATAAATCTCAAGGTCAAACAATGTCCATTTGTGGTTTTGATTTGGAAAATCCATGTTTTTCTCATGGGCAACTATATGTTGCGTGTTCACGTGTTGGGAAACCGTCGAATCTATTTGTGTTAGCTAAAGACAGGTTAACCAAAAGCATTGTGCACCGATTGGTGTTAAATTAAATTGAAAAATTTAAAGTATTTATAATTTAAAAAATTAGATATTAACGTTTAAAAGTTTAAGACTGTCTGCTTAATATCAAGTGTAAGAACATTTAGCCACAGCAACGCGTGGCCGGTCAGCTAGTATATATATATATATATATGATCACGACGCAAACGTGTTGAAAGAGCTCAGCAATTACCAGAACAAATGGAAACAAGAAATGCAGCTCAAAGAATTAGGACTGCAGAAAGTCGTGCACGAGAATCTCAAGAACAGCGTGACGAACGTCTGCAACAGAATATTACGAGAACAAGAGCGGCACGAGAACGAAACATAGCTACAGTACGAGAAAGAGATCGACAAAGGCAACGGATCAGCCGCTCATTAACACGTGCATCATTCGTTCGGCTTGCCTTTGATTATGCACCAGATATTAACTACTCAGCGCATTCAAAGATTGCTATCGGTGGAATGGATAAAGTACTCGTCTATCAATATTGTCAGGCATTGAAATTTCGGAATGAAGCTGCCGGCATGTGCTGCGCATCAGGAAAAGTTGTGCTGTCACCTCTACCCGCTCTGCCGGAGCCTTTATTATCTCTTCTTACTGGCAATTCAGATGATTCCAAATTATTTTTGCGTAAGATACGCAAATTTAATTCTTGCTTCCAAATGACGTCATTTGGGGCAACTAAAATTTGCGATCGTGCATCCGATGGACGTAATTTACACCGTTCATATGACGCACTACAATATCCATTCATCGTCATGATTTAACTGCACGTGTGTTTAAACAAAAATTGAAATCCTTAATTGATTTTATTGTTAAATATGAAATTTTTGGTAACACACGTTGTTGGCTGTATACGATAGAGTGGCAAAAGCGAGGTTTGCCTCATGCCCACATTTTGGTTTGGCTTAAAGATAGAATCCGTCCTGAAGAAATTGATCAAATAATTTCAGCCGAAATTCTAGACCCATTAATTGATCAAGAATTATTTGATATTGTCACCAAACACATGATCCATGGGCCATGCGGTGCTTTCAACATGACGTCACCGTGCATGGAAAATGGAAAATGTAAAAAAAACTTCCCAAAGCCGCATACGAATGACACGATCACGGATATTGATGGTTATCCAATGTATCGCCGCAGAAGTACTGAGAATGGTGGCCACACATTTACAATGCGACTACCGAACTTTCCAAATCAAGTTGAGTTTGATAATCAGTGGGTGGTACCATACTCACCACTACTTTCAAAAATTTACAAAGCTCATATCAATTTTGAGCTTTGCAGTTCTGTTAAATCAATTAAGTATATTTCTAAATATGTAAACAAAGGCAGTGATTTGGCCATATTTGAAGTACAAAACATAAATAAAAATGACGAAATAGCACGATACCAAATGGGCAGATACATTAGCAGCAATGAAGCTATTTGGCATATTCTCAGCTTTCCCATCCACGAAAGAGATCCTGCTGTCCAACATCTGGCAATACATCAAGAAAACGGTCAACGTGTATACTTCACTGAAGAAAATGTTCTCCAAAAAGCGATCGAAGCTCCGAAAACGACTCTAACTGAATTTTTTACATTGTGTCAAAAACCTGATGTTTTTGGCCAATTCGCGAAGACATTGGTGTATGGTGATGTTCCACGTCAGTTGTTTGCAATTATTTTGACGACATGTTATCCCTCGCAACCACAAACTTTGTGGGAAAAATATAAAAATTGTATGACAGAAGACATCTTGCACCGAATTAGACAAATAAATCAATGCCAAAACATAGATTATACACCAGAGATGTACAATGAAGCATTGGTCTTGATCGAGGATTTATGTGTTCTTATTTCAAATTTACCACTTAATCATTATGGTATGCCATCACCTAATCGTCCAGCCACCGACTTAGTCAATACCGATTTACAACGAGAAAATCAATATGACCATGGAAGTTTAGCAACAATTATCAAGAACAGTGAACCATTACTGACAGCAGAACAAAAAATTATTTATGATCGGATTATGCTAGCTGTTGCTGCTGAACAAGGCGGTTTTTTTTCTTGGATGCGCCCGGTGGAACCGGTAAGACATTTTTAATATCGTTGATTCTTGCCAAAATACGGTCGCAACAAAAAATCGCATTAGCAGTAGCATCGTCAGGCATTGCCACACTTTTTCAATAATTGTACAAACATTTTTATATTATTTTTATTTAACCTCCATTGAAAATTATTTTTCAAACAATGTCCATTTGTGGTTTAGATTTGGAAAATCCATGTTTTTCTCATGGGCAACTATATGTTGCGTGTTTACGTGTTGGGAAACCGTCGAATCTATTTGTGTTAGCTAAAGACAGGT